AGACTACATAAGTGTTTGTGTTACCAGAGGTCTACCTCCTGCTAGTATATACAATCCATACTTCCTAATGGAAACAATGCAAAAATCTCCAGAGATAAGATCTATATTTGCTTGTGGAATATATTCATGACATAAGTAAAAGACACCTGTAGCACAAGTTCCTGTAATTCACTTCCAGTTGCAACTGAAAAATTGCGCTGTTCAAGAAAATTATAGGGCATCGTACAAGAGCTAAAAAAAATGTCCAATTTTTTATTTCACTTTCTTGCTTCTATACATGACACAATAATCTAAGCCAGCAAAGAACCTTTATTAGAATAGTTTTTCTACTGGATTACCTAATGATTGCATAAAAAACCTCATAAATTTTCTCTGGTGTCCACACTGAGAACACAAAGTTTCCCAAGACAGGAATAATTTCTTTCAGAAAAATTGTGGTTTGGAAATGTAAACATTTTATTTAAAACATTTATTTTTTAATAGGTATTTTAAATGTATTTTATTTCATGTTTCTTTTATTTTGTTCTACTTCATAATGTCATGTCTTGCTCTAAAAATGATGACATCATGCAATGATGTACGAAGCACATGTAATGTGGAAAACAAAATGTATTTCAAAATAAAAATTTTAGTTTGGGAAAAAAAAAGGAATCAAAATTTTCAGACCAGAATTTTTCCCTACCCATTCTACCAGACTTTTCCAAATAATTTGCTTTCACCAGGATGTGTACAGAAAACAAATTTCAAAAGATCAAAATATACTGCATAATGCAAAACATGAGCTACAGCGAATGCTTTGAGATTGACTCAAACAGAAAAGTCAAGAGTTAACAGACAGCCTGTGCCTGACTGCGTCATACATTATATCGCATTGACTAAAATGCAGTGATAGGAACCTAACTAGTGTTGTTACATCACAATATGTAGTAACTCAGAACAATATTTTTATTTCTATGGAGAATAAAGATCATGTTTTGTATTTTAAAATAAGCAAACAGGACAAAACTTCGCCAACACATGATGTAACCACAATATGAATCATAGAAGTATATGTGAAAGTATATAATATTTGCACACACAGCTGTTGCAATATGAATGCACAGAAGAATACTTAAAGGAGATTGTTGTGCTCATTTTCAAGCCAGTGGGGTTTTAGGTACTTTTGATATACTAAGCATTCACAATTTTCTAAACAACAAAGTTGGTCCAAGAGTATTTAGCAGAGACTTACTTACCGTAATAAGGGTTGTCATGAATAGCAATTACAAATAAGCATAATCAGTCATAACAAGCAGGGACTGCTTCTGGATTGACATCAACCCACTTGAGATCAAGTTCTGCAGTTCTTCAGACTCTGAAGATCACATCCTTATTCAGACAAAACTGAATCTGATTTAGCTTGCAAAGTTTTAAATCCTGATTATTTTTTCTGACTAGAGACTGAGATTCATGTCAGTAGGAAATGTGACTTTATACCCAATATTTAAGTGTTCATTAATATCTTGACAATTGCAAATGAAAGAGCAGTTAGAAAGTAATATTGTTAGCATGATATAGTCCACATTTCCTCCTGACATTTTAGATATACAGTCCAGAAATGTTTACAGCAGTTTTCCAAAACAAAGGACTTTGATTCCAAACATTATGCAGTTTAGTTTTCCACATTTGTAACTTCAGTCATTCCTCACTGTACTGCTTTTCATCAAACTGATAGACTGTACAATAGCTGAAACCAGTGAGCTGCTTCTCTTATCTTCACTAGCAATGTCCACATTTCCTCCCCCTTGACTAATTGTTTGTAATATAAGGTTGATTATAAACTCCTTTTGGAAAAGACTTACAGTTTGAAAGATGTTTTTACAACTGCTTATAAACTTCACCTGCAAGAGGGATTCCAGCCTGCTGGCTACCACAGAGCAATTAACTCTACTACTACTAATGGCTGGAAAGAACATATACCCAGTAAGTCAAAAACTAGTGACAATAATTTCCATGTTTTAAATCCATTACCTTGTGCCTTTCACTGGATTGTTGTTGCATGGTTCCCAATGACCAGATCCAACTACACTTGACTCAATGTAGTACCCAACCAGCTCCTTAGCATCTGGGGGCTCTGTCCAAGTGACAACAACTGAGGTATCTGTATTCCTAGTTGGCATAATACGCCCAGGAGCTTTGGGAATATCTGTGGGAGAGAAACAGAAATAAAGTCGTGACCAGCCTGTCAAAATTTACAACTAAAATAAGAGTGACATTCTGTTCTTGATTATTTTAGCACAACTAATACAGATTTAACCTTCCAAAACTCCTCTGATTTCAAGCAAGTAATCTGACACAGCAGGACAGGACCAGTAGTTTCAAGCTTTTGGTGGTGAGGTTCCTCACGTCTCCAATGCCTATGGTTATGAGTATTTCCTTCAAATTAGATTTAGTTTATTCCCTTGTGCTGAACATCTGCACCAGACATGATTTGGAGCTTTCTAAAAAGGAAAATGTGTTAGGTGCACTGAAGGATTTTGTGCCGCCCACAGAATAAGTCAGAAACAAATGCCTGTGTTAAGTAGTAAAATGCATCTAAAGTGTTTTTCAAGAAGAGCTGTTTTACTCGTCTTAAAGAATGTAGTTCATGTGCATCAAACTGTTCTGAGAATTCAACCAATATGAAATAAACAGAGACAATCTTGGAACTGGATTCAAATCTGCATTGCCATTTGGAAACATTGCTAATGTAGACATAGCTACTGATGCTTTACTGTGGTGAACGTCTTGGCTTTTCTTCCAGTGGAAATAGTCTCTGCATTCATGTAAGTATTAAATTCTTCACTTTTGTTTAATTTGGCAAACGACAAAGGTTGAACTCTGCTGATGTCTGGGCTTATTTTCAATAAAGACTCTAAGTAAAACAAAACATTTTTGTACTTCCTTGAGTTTTCATTTTCTTTCACTATTTGCAGCCTCTGCAGTTCTTTGGCATTGCTATTTGCGGATTAATTCCCTTGGTTTGCATCTGCCATTTGACAACACATTAAAGGTTCAACAATCAAACCAAAATTATTTTAGCTAAAGGGTACTGAATTTAGGAGTCAGCTAAAGAGTAGCTGACTACTCTTCATACTTGAATTAGTTACTGGGCAGCTATCTGTCTTCAGACAAAACAATTACATCACAAACTGAAAAGATACCATGCAGGTAATTTACTACATATGACCACACACTTACCAAGTTTGTTGTCCACCACAGTGGCTTCAGTTGCTTCTGACGGTTCACCAATACCAGCTGAATTGCAACAGCGAACTCGGAAGCAGTAGGATTTGCCTTCAGCCAAATCAAAAACTGCAAAGCGAGGAGACTTCACAGGGATCTCGGTGTTCACCCTTTGCCAGTCCTCTGTGCCGGCAACACACTGCAGTCAAACCCAGAAACCGCATTTGGAATAAAAGTCTCTGAAAGCTGAGTGTCTAACCGACAAGATTTTCTACCCGGACCACTAAATGCTTGTCTGCTATGGAGAACAGAGAGTCATGTTCCTTTTTTGGGCCTTTCTACAGGATGAGCGTATTTCAAAGCTTATGAATCAGTCAGATGTCCACCTACTCCAGAAAATGTACATTATCAAAGCTAAACTCCTCTCCACTGCAAGGAAGCGATGTTGTTATTAACTGCATCCAATTCTGGACCATTTTCAAAATAAGTCCTGCAGACATTCAACATCATCCGAAGAACAAAACTCTAACATTACCACATTGCTTCTAGATGCTATTGTGCTAATCCTGAGAATGCTTTTGGGGTGGCTTCCAGAATTAATCAGGAAATTACCTATATTTTCCAGAAAAAAATTAACATGTGCAATTAATGTTTTTATTACTGTGGCTAGAAGCTCTACATACCATGATCATTTATAACATTATTATTAGTGATTAATTTTTCCCCATGATTTACATTAAGGATAATTTCAAGTAATAGTTCTGGTTGCTGAGGGATTTAAAATTCTTAGGAAAACATTATCTGACTATTTAACATTAGTGCTCAGTACTCAGCATACAACAAGTTATTAAAAAGCTTTCTTATATGGAAACTCAAAAATCATATATTCACCCTCTCCAAGTCTGTTGCTAAGTGAAACTCATTTGTTTAGATCAAATTTTGTAACAGAGATGAAAAACACATAATGAGAAGATACTTATGTCTCCCAGGATGACAACTCTAGACTGACAGGGAAAAGCATTGATAAAAAAGTTTGTGAGCCATGAGATACAAGTGAAAACGGTGATGGTGTGAAGAATTTTCTAGGCTAGCAGCCATGCAAAAAACATCTCAAAAAAGCAGGACACTGACATTAAAACTGATTTTGTTCTAGAAAAGAAATTTTTTTATGTTTGTTGAGTTGGTGAAGCAAATGGAAAGTTAATGTAGAAGATAAATATGAAAAGGCAACAGGAAGAGAAAATGCTGATGCCAAGAAACTCTTGCAGAATGCCTCCATCCAAAATGTTAATAATCTGTCCCACCAAACGAGTTTCATTTATACAGATTTTATTTTATATATATGTATATATTAATATATATTTATACACATATCATATATATAATTTACTTTTTTTTAAAAGCATGTGACTTTGCTCTGTGCTTTCTCATTATAGACGAAGTTTGTCAGGTTGTGTACTCCAGGTTTGGTCAATGACACAATTCATAAAAGGATATTACAGTGTGTGACACATTCTGCATCTACTTTCCTATTTCTCATCTTTCTTTTCTTCCTAGTTGATCTTAATCTACAGTAACATTTATCTTGATGAAGTTCTAGTCCTGGCCCTAGTTTGAAAGCCTCAGGTGGAAATTAAAGTTAACTAAAAGTCCAGAAGAGATGGCAAGACAAATGTGAGAGAGTACCACAACATGATTCTGATTTTGTCCAATTTTACCTTTTCCACAAAGTACATGATACCCTCATGGCCCCGCTGTCCAGGAGGTTTCCAGCTAAGCACAACATAGTTCTTGGTGGCTTCAATAACTTGGAGGTCTGTAGGTGGACCAGGAACAACACCCTCTGAAGAACAGGGGAGAAGAATAGGAAAGGGAATTGGGATTTAATTCCTTCATATTTGTATCAGAATTAGTGCCATAATTAAAATATAGAAGTATTAATATAACTTAGCACCTGATTTTTTTTTAAATGTAGAGTTAAAAGTCTTCTAAATATTTAAATGTCCTTCTTTTAACTCTAATCATGTTTATTTGTTAGGTGCTGAATAATGAAACCTCACCTTAACCAAGTTGGGAGTTATTCAAGGTCAAGTGACTCTCAGAACAACGAACTTTGGGTGTGTGCCAAAGTCCACTGAACCCACTGGGAGTTTTCGTAATTACTCACCCAGCTTCACATTGGACTTTTGTAAGCAAAAGGGATGTGTTTACCTGCAGGTTCTTCCTCAGTGACAATAATCTGTCCAGTCCAGGGAGCAGAAGGGTGACCTGAAATAAATGTCAGAGGTGTCACAGAAATGGGAGACTTCAGGAACTTTAGAAGTAATGAGAAAACTTGCTCTTTTGTAGTTCAAAACTAACATTTGCAAGATTCACGTGAGCTCCGTTTTTGGTTACTGCTGTGACTGTTGCTCATGTAGCAAGCTAGTAACCCAAGCTAGTTGTAGGCTGACCAGCTTGAATATTGACAGCAGCTCAGCAATCAATATAGCTAGAAAATTTAATCCACTGAAACATGCATTCCCTCCTGAAACGTCACTAAAGTCACCTAGGTGACAAGCAGAGGTATTTGGCTCACTCAGCTCGTCGTTTTCAGAGAATTAACTGTGTTATTTTCCATAGTCTATTCATTTGGGTTAACAGCTCACTGATTAGAGGAACAGCCAAATTCCTGCAGGCTGCTTTTTGTCTCTTTTTAACCACTTTCCCTCACAGTACCAGCTTTCAAATCATGGGTCACAGTCACAAAACAGAAATGGCTCAGCCTGACTCAACATACCCACTTGATATGATTTAGGTGGCTCTCTCAGCGCCTCTACGTTAGCACGTTATTGTAGTTATAGCATTCAGCCATCAGCCAGGTCAATGCAATTTCAGAGATTATTTTTTGCAAATGCTGTTCTCCACCTCCAGGTGTGTTACCTTATGTTGGCTGATCTGGTTTGGAGACGTGAGCAGAGAGGGAGCGGGTGGGGAGAAAAGAGGATCATGAGGGACGAGAGGAAGAGATACAACGGGAACAGGCCACCGAGACCAGACTTCATCTCCTGAGACAGCTTCCACACTTCCCAGTGAAAAGAAGAGGCCTCCTCCAGGCTTCAGCTTTCACATGTCTGTCTGAGCACAATGTTTCCTGGCAGTGCCAAACCTCCTTCCTCTGGCCTTCTGGTTTTATTTTGAATGGGAACCTGGATCATCTGACTGCAGTCTGTAGCTTGCAGCATTATATATAAGCTGGGACCGTGAGAGCCCTGTAGCTTTGCATACAATATCCCTTCACACTGGGCCATTTCAAATAGTAAAACTTCAGAAAAAAGCAGAAATAATTGGATTTTAGGCATATGATTTTGGCATGTGGGTAGAGAGGGGGATTTTGAAGCAAACTTCAGTTAAAATCCTCAGCAAAGCCTTTTTGTCTAGGGCATTTCCAGGCCTCAGGAAACGTATCCTTGGCTTGGAAAACATTAACTTTAAAACAGAGAGCTTAGAATCTTTTGGGCTACCCTGGTATTGTGCTGAAGTTACTGCAAGACTTTGACCATCACATGAACACAGAACCGGCCACCCTTGCCTCTGGCACCGAGAGAGACTACGCACAGGATCTGATCAGCATTTTTGTTGGCTGAACAACAGCAAGTCTGTTCGGGCAATTAGCCAAAGCCGTCTGAGCAGATAGAGCACCTTGTGCAGAGACCACCGAGATGATTTCTGCTTGGCAAAGCGGTCTCCAAAGGATATTTTGTTTTTGCATTGCTCCCTCTAGTGGGATTTCGAAGGCTTACGTGTAGGTAACCAGACTCTTTTTTGACCGAGTTGTGACTTCTTAAACCTCTCAGGCAACCTGCAGAAAGCACAGCTTACCTCTAAGCCTGGCTCTGTCAGCAGGGTCCAGAGCAGCCACGGGCTCTGACACTCGGGATGGGCGGCTAATGCCGGCTTTGTTCACAGCTCGGACTCGGAAAACGTAGGAGCGGCCTTCGATCAGACCAGTGACGGGAAAACGAGCAAACTTCACGGGAGTCTCATTGCACTGGGTCCAGTGGGTGGTGCCAACCTCACACCTGAAAATACAAACAGCAAGAGCAGTGCTGGGAAGGGGGGGAAAAATGCGAAGTCGGGGCACTCACCCCCCTTTACAGCTTCACCATCTGTTCGCGTTCACCGGCTGGACCATACCAGTTTCCTCAGCAGCGTTATATACTGGTGACATCAAAGCAGCTGCACCAAGGCGTCAGGGCTGAAGTACTGTCTGGGCACGCACTAAATCCCCCACAGCTGCGCTCCTTCTTTCCTGAACGGAGGAAGGGACACCAGCAGGACTCACTTCGCTGTTTAAGCCCTGCAAAGTATGCTGCAGGATGCCTAGGGAGTGTCAGATTTAGCATGCTTGAAGGGACGTGAAATACATGTATCCTCTGCAGTTGCCAGAAGGCAACGAGTTCATCTGTCATGCACAGTGCTCCACTGTACATCCCGCAAAACGATGGGCTTCATGGGGCATGGAGGCCTCCGTCGTGAGTTCTGTGACCAGCCCCGCGTACAGTTGGCTGTGAACGGGGTTGGAGTTGGGCTCTTGGCCGGACCCTTGCTGCAAACGCCGCTGGGGCTGCCAAGGGAGCCTGCGGTGCAGTGGCTGCAGTCACGGCCACGACAAGACCCGGCAGGGTGGTGTCGGTCCCATCGCTGCTAAGCCTCGCACCTTGGCAGGAGGATGGTTTCTGGCAGAAGAAAAGAGATAACCCGCAGCAGGGAGGGACCGCAGTGACTTTGTCTCAGGGAGCCAGGAGGAGCCTGTGGGGATGGCTTCCCAGATTCCAGCAACATGGTTGACAGGAACATGAACTAGCAACTGGGAAAGACTTTTTATTGGTGCTGAGATATCTGCCAACGCAGATGTTACAGTGCCTACCCAGATCCTGTGGTACACGTGAGCATCTCTTCTGGGAATTGTTACCTCTCACTCGGGGTGGTTTTGTGGTTCTTGTTTCTGCTTGGGGTGAAGGATGCCCAAGCTTCACCTCCAACGTTAGCACAAACCAGTGCTGCTGCCTTGGGTGACCTGCTCACTCAAGTATTCAGGCAGATAGGGGCTACCCTGGCTGAATATTTGGGTGCCCAAATACCTTCGGTGGGATCAAATACTGGAGAGCAGTAACAAAGCTTTGAACTTGGGAGCAAATGTAGAATAAAGGAGGTGAACACATGAGAAAAAGGAAAATGCCATTTGTCTTGCAGTTACTCTCAGTGCTAACATCCCTCAGTAGCCTAGTTTTAAAATGAGACATTATTTTTCAGAGCTTAGTCCTGCCTTCTGTTTAGGATTTTTCAATGAATGTTAAAGAGCTGTAACTCAGATCTAGCACTACCTAGTTACAGCAGCAACTGACACTCATAAGTTATCAAACCAGTAAAATTATATTCAAATTAAATGTACTGACATTAGATTTGTTTTACAAAGTAATGCCCTCCTTTTATACATATATAATTTATGTATATACAATGGCATAATATAGTGAGATACTTACAAAATATAAGTTTGGGATTTTTTTACATGCATCTGAATATGCTTACAGGAACTCCATGTTACTGATGATGTATTCTGTTACCGAAATTCAAACAAATATTACCAGCTCTGCAGATCGTTGCAAGTCTCCAAATACTGACTGGATTTCCTAAATCCTGAGCCTCTGCAGTCTTGCCACTGTGTGATGCATTCAGTTTTCATATTTTGAAAAAATATTTCCAACTATTATTGTTCCAGAGAAAAACACATACATATAATCTACATATGACCTACATATGAACAACAGCGCATAAAAGAAATGCAAGTCCCTTTGAGATAATATATAAAATAACAAGTGACCATTTTATCTCATGCTTTTAAATGTGCTTCTAGGTTTTTGAGTTAGAATGCGCAGAAAAATGAATTCTCCAGTCCAGCGTGCTCACTGACCTGTCAATGAAATATCCGAGAATGGAGTTTCCTCCATCGACAGCGGGCTGCTTCCAGGAGACAATGACATAATCTTTGTTGGCATCTAAGCACTGCACGTCCAGTGGTGCGCCAGGGGCTCCGGGGATTTCAGCATCAGCATCTATGAGGATGGAGACATATGTTTCCAGATGTGAACCACAGTTCTTTCCCAGTTATTAATCTTTAGGACTAAACTCTGTTCCTACTGAGACAAAAAAAGGAAGTTCCACCACTGGCTTCAAAAAGTATTTGGTTTTATATCGCCAGTGTTTTTCTAGGTTTTGGGTTTCCGTTTGTCACATTTAAAAATGCTTAGTATGTTACAGCATACTGTAAATGTAATTCACCTAGGCATTTTAAATAAAATTACTAATATGCATTCTGGTTAGGTAGCTGCCAGAGACACAGCTGAACTAAAAACTTGGCAGACTATATATTTACCTGCTATTCTACATAAGACAAGAGACTGATATCTTGCCTTACAGCCAGGCAATAGCTCAATCAAAAGCATTCACCCATTGGGTATACAACACTGAATTAAATTTCTTATCACCACACAGAATCCTTCATTGTTTGGTTTTGGTTAGCTATGAACCATAAAGGTATTAAAACCTTTTGAACTTTAATTATATTACACATACGTTATTATTGTGGAATATAATTTATCACAGAATTCTGTGATTCTGTGATATAACCTTCATAAGGATGAGCATATTGTTCCTTTCAAGTGTTTATCAAAAATCTGGGACTGCTGGTGTCAAAGGGCCTTGACTTCAGCATCTGGACATATCTAAAGCTTTAAAACACAGAGCACAGTGCTGGGAATTTTGCTGTTTACACAGAGTCTGATTTCTGAGATGGGGTAATTTTCACGTAGAGAAAAATAACCTTTGCAGGAAGATTGTATGAAAGACTTTCAAAAAAGAGAGGTTGTTTCTCTGCAGAATAACATCAATTTGTAAAATTACATGTAGCATTTTTCAAGCCCACTACTTCAAAAGAAGACCTGCCTTAGACAATAAAGATGTATATACCTGAAGAAAAAAATATTTTGCTAATAAATGTTATTCATACATTCCATCTAAACCCCAGACTTCTTTAAAAGGTTTGATGTTTCAAGGCACTACAGGATTTTGTATTACAATATACAGTAATCCCTATTTTTTATGCTTTTGGCTTTCAGAAAAAAAATGCCTTATAAGAGTATTTAGCATGCTTCGTTAAGTAAAACAGTAGTCTCCAGGAAAAAAAAAAAAACACACACTTTATACTGTGTCTTCTCTTATAGGCAGAGTAGCATCACATGGAGCTTTTGAAGCTGCGCCAAACTTACTCAGTCCAGGTTCTAATTACAGCTAACTCAATGCATTTTTAAAACAATAATGTACAGAGTAAGCAATCCAGTTAATATAACAAAATAACATTAAAAGTAATAACAATATGTCTACAGGTACAAAAGGTTTTAATTGCCCATATTTGCCACTTGACGGAACATGAGACACCACGTTTTTTTTCCAAGGCAAACTGGGAAGTAGCTGGGAGAGCCGGCACTGCTGATCAGCCCCAGCAAGGCTACGATTTCGTCCCTGACGGCTTGCTGGCAAATGCTGACCCGTACCTGCAGCAGAAGGGTCACACACGCTCTCTAAGCCCGTCTAAAGACCTGATGTTGTGAGCCTGAGCAGCGCATTGCTCACTTCCACGGATACACAGGGGTTTCTACCTGTGACACAGAAAGACAACTGCTCGTGCTATACAACACGTATAGCAAATTTGCCTACAATTTAGGAGGAGCAGTGAATATACTAGCCTACTGAGACTGTGGGCACCATTTAAGTAGGAATATAGAATATGATTAATCTAATTAGGATTTGTCAAACACACCAATTGGCTAGAAAGATACTCTGATGAAAGGGCTAGTGGGTTCACAGTCAGGACATACCTGCGTTGCTAGATGTAACAGGAACGAGGGCGATTATTTATATGGCAGCACAATTTCATACAAAGCAAGAAAGACAAGTTCTATTCCTTGTCACAGATGCTCATTTCTGTAGACTCTTTTTTCAGGTGATGAAAGCATCTGCTTCAGTCATATTTTTTGAGCAGGCTGTTATCTCACACAGCTCTGCTGAACTTGGCAACACGGTGCCATTCTGGGCACGGTCTCAGAGCCAAGAATTTCCAGAGCCTTTTGAATTAGCATTACATACTTCAGCTGCTTTTAGCAGCTGGAACAGATATAGGATCAGCACGTAACCTGATAACCATGACTCCTTTTAAATAAATATTTCCCTAGTAGAAAATCAAGGAAGACTTTCATGGTACAAGCAAAAAACACTCAGAGAATTAACATTTTAATTCTACATTTCAGTTACAAAGTCAGCTTTGCTGCTTTACTTTGCAGAATCACAGAACAGCTGAGATTGGTAGACAACTCCAGAAATTGTGTAGTCCAACCCCTGGCTCAAAGCAGGATCAGCTAAAGCTGGTTGCCTAGGACCATGTTGAATCTGGTTTTGGGTATATCCAAGGATGGAAACTCCACAGCCTGTCTGGTTAATGTGTTCTAGTGTTCCACCACCCTTACAGTAAAAAAAGTGCTTTCTTATGGTTAAATGGGCTTTCCTGTATTTTAATTTGTGTCCATTGCCTCTTGTCCTGGCACCGGGTACCACTGAAAAGAGCCTGGCTCTGTCTTCTTTACTCCTCTCCATCAGGTATTTGTACCCATGGATAAATTCCCCCTAAGTCCTCTCTTCAGCCCTCAGGCTGAACAGCTCCACCTCTCGCACCCTTTCCTCATATGAGAGATGCTCCAAGTCTTTAATCATCTTCACAGCCCTTCACTAAACTCCAGTGAGTCCATGTCTCTCTTGTACTAGGAAGCCCAGGACAGGACCCAGCATTCCAGATGAGTCTCACCAGTGCTGAGCAGAGAGGAAGGACCACTTCCTCAACCTGCTGGCAATGTTCTTCCTAATGCAGCCCAGGATGCCTCTGTCCTTCTTTGTGACAAGTGCACATTGCTGTCTCATGTTCACCTTGGTGTCCACCAGGACCCCCAGGGTCTTTTCTGAAAATTGGCTTTTCAGCCAGTCAGCCCCCAGTCTGTACTGGTGCATGAGGTTATTCTTCCCCAGGTGTAGACCTTTGCATTTCTCTTCCACTGTATTTTTTCCTGCATTGTGCGTTGGAGAGAACCCCTCAAATAGTGCACAAAATCTGGATCAAAACAGTGGAGTTTAGCTAGCAGTAAAACGGTTACAAAAATACATTTTTAAGTTATTATGTAGATTTTTCCTCTTTATGGCTTATGTTCAGTACTCTTCTGAGGCTGAAATTGAGAGAGAGTAGTGAAGTTACATCAATACCCTAAATTTCCTCCTCAGAATGCCAATGTGGTTTAGAAGTCTTCTAGCACATGACACCAAAGCTTGAGGCACGTGTTCAATTTTTCCAAAGATAACAGTTGGAAGCTATATTGAATCTATTAACAGAAAATAATTATTCTCTTTTTTATTGGAAAAAAAGGACCTAAAATGGCTGAGACTGATTTTGCCAGCCTTTTCCTAATTTCTCTAGCGAGTTTCGTTCACGAGACAATATCCTACCTCGAACAAAGACATAACTGCTGTACTCTTCATAGTAGTCTCCCATCACCACTCGTAGAGTGTAAAGACCTTCATCTTCCTTGTTTGCATGAGTCAGTGTTAACGAAGCTCGCTCCCCACTCCAGTGCATCTGGACCCATTTGGATGGTGTAATAAGAACACCTAGAAATTAGAGAATTTCATGATGAGAACTAGTTGGATCTACTGAGGAATAGATTCTGAATATGGGGAATAGATATATTGGAAATACACAAGAAACCATTCTTACTATGCAAGTTTCAGTCTGCAGAGACGATCATAAATTATAGCTAATTCTGCTGTCATGCCAATTTTGTTTTCATTTTCAAAGTGTAACTTTTTTATCAGCTGTTGCATAACACATTTGTGCAACTACTTAAGAAAAGTTTTGGCATATAAATAAATAGTAAAAGCTATGTGGGCTATGTAGATGGACCACATAAATGTTGGAGCTGATTTAAATGCTTCTAATTTAAATTTTGCTTTAAGACAGAAAAAATCCCTAGAAAACATTTTTACATTGCTTTGTCTGTTTTCTAACTGGTTCCACTTCAAAATGCTAAATTTTGAAAAACTTTTAATTGAAAAAGAGAAAATACTAGTTTAGAAATCTGAGAAAGTGATGACCAAACCTTAACACTCACACATGCCGAAATAAGCAAAGATTTACATGAAAGAAGTTTATATTTCTTCTTGTCAAATATTCTCACCATTTCTGTACCATTCGATGTCTGGTTTGAAGCGCTTGATATCAGGACAGATGACAACTGTGCATCCCAGACTCATTGTCTCGCCTTCTCTCCCAAAGGCTACATCAAACTTGTCGACAAAGCTGATTTCAAACCTGGAAGCATAGCCATGAGGGGTAACGCCAACTGTATAAGGGAAAAAAAATACAGCTGTTTATTTTATTTTTTCCTACCTTTTGTCATGAGACTAGTAAGCAAAACTACACAATGATTATGAATACAGGTAAAGTTTAAGTTATAAATAGAAGCAATATATATTTAGCAATCTTATTCAGAGGTAATTGCAGTGTCAAATAATCCAAGCCCTTCTTACTATCACAGAGAATCAACTATTTATTTATTCATACAACCCCAGTTCTTACAGCTAGTTCACTTTATCAGGGAGAGGCTCCTGCAGAATTTCATTCCATAATTTCCAAAATTTCAGATCCAGCATTTCATCATTTTACCATAAGGTTTGTTTTATAACTTAAACAGACTTCTATTTATGATTAATGATTTGTTCAGGTCAAGTACCTTTAGCATATATGGCTCTTTTCTTTCCCTGTTTTAACTCTTTGCTTCATCTCAGGGCAGTCATGCATCCACTCAACCTTCATTTTTATAAGCGAAATAAGCCTTTTGGGGGGGCTCTTAATATAAAATGAGCTCTCCATTCCCCTGGCATTCAAGTAGCCCGTTTCTGTAGTTGCTCCTGAATTTACCTTTTCTGATGCTGTGTGACCTGAGTTATGCAGTATTCCAGACAGAATATCCTAAGTGCCTTACACTTGTGTTGCAAGTACATGGCACAGGGGCTTCCATGTTTCTTTAGAAAACAGCTCAGCTGATAAAACTTAGTGTCACATTTTCCTTTTCCCCAACTGTCCTACACTGGTAGCTCACAGTCTTCCTGTGATCAATGAACATATGCAAGTCGTCGTCTTCCTTTCCCATTCCCACGGGATAAAACCTAAATTATATCGGAAACTCATGGCCTTGCACTTTGTAATCTAGTAGATAATCTTGTTTCTATTATTTCAGAGCTTCGGTATATGAATAGCATCTAGTATGCTTTAGCAGAGTATCGCTGATTCTATTTGTGCTGCTACAATAAAAGAAATGTCCATAAGTCTCATCTGTCAAGGCTTCCATGCACAGGAGCCCTACAGCACTTCACACACGGCATACGTGGGTGGATTGTCTTAACATTTCTCATCATGGAAGTATCTATACAATACTGTAAATCACTTCAAAATGGGAGGGTCTCAGGTAAAACAAACTGCAATTTTTACCCTGATATATCCAAAATATTCAAATTGCATCCTAGCTATTTGATCCTTTCTATGCATTTTCGTCACACCTGGAATTGCACAGCAGCAGACAAGAACGATGGAGTCAACTACTCTGCTTATGCACATGCACGCTCTAGCTTTTTTGCAGACCATGTTTTACATACTGCAAGAGATGAAGTCTCTCCCTCTGACAGATTTTATTCCACGGGCAATATTAAAAGCATGTTTCTTATATAAGCAAATAGCCATAGACCCAGAAGGCAACGCTATTTTCCCCTACGGGTGAGGCTGACACCATCTGAAACTGCAGAGCTCCGTATCTTTATAAATCAGACCTTCTTCCTTTTTAAATAATGTTACAAAATATTCTGCTTAGTCATTTGTCATGATGTCACAACTGTAAATGGATGTATCAAACAAACATATATTGCAACTTACAACCCAGAGGCATGGAAGAAGTTCCAGCATGTAAAAGACTTGCATCAATTTCTCCTTTGTACCCTACACAGAAAAAGAGCAACTCCAGTCACTATCACCAAGAGGTAAAGGCTCTCTGAGCCACAGATATGAACTTGGTAATGTGCATCTTAAAAAAAAAAGAAAACAAACAAAGGAAATATTTTGCAAACCTACTCTTTACCACCAGGGAAGCATAAGCTGAAATTTCTCCTTTAACATTCATAGCAGAGGCCCGATACTGAGCAATGTCGTCAAAATCGCATCTAAAATGATAGAAATCATTAGGCATGGCATCCGTTTACGCCTTGGCATACCCTCTCCTATGTTTTAGATCAAAAAAACCCTCAGAAACCTGCAAAAAAATCTATAAACAAGAAAAAGGTTGGGAGACAGACACACTGGATGCTGGACTGATTGTAGCCATTAAGTTTTTCTGAGTGTTAAAAATCCAGTGTTTGGAATACATGCCTCTTTTCAAACATCACTTGCAGATTTGAAATTGAGAATACAATGGAAGCAGGGAAAACTATCTGGTAATATTTAGCTAAATTATCTCTAAGTTATCTCTAATTTACTGTCTCCTATGGAGAGATGCCTAATGTGGAAGCTGTAGAAATGGCAAATATCAGAAAATATTTTCAAAGGGCACCTACCAGTATCTAAATTGTCAAATCGAGAATGTTGCTGATTGTCAAATTAGATGGTTAGGTCCCATGTTTTCAATGTTTTTTAAATACAAAATTACTGCAAAAATTTCTCATTTGGAGGATGAGTACTATTAAAGATCTTTCTTGTGTGTAAGTGAGGACATCTCATTTCCATTCCGCATTCCAGTAAGAGCTAGGAGCTTTGCTATATTTGAAAAACAGTTAACACATATTTTTACACTGAACTAGATTTTTCTCATGTTTAACTGTACTCATGCCTCAGACAAATGGAAAAAGTAATCACAAATGTCCCACATGTTTCTGATTCAGCCATAAATAGAATAATAATCCAGATAAATTACTCACTTAGGTAAATTGCATATCCTCTCCTGAGGAAAAACAGAACCACTTCAACATTTAGTATATAGCGTTCACTTCAGCTCTACAAACTTGATCTCTCTTATATCCCCGAGACATTATGTTCACATTTTGCAGGTCTCAATCTATAGCAACATTTCATCTTAAACTATTTGTTAAAATATATAGTATTCCCTTACGTGCTAATCTCCAGTGAGTGCAGCCCATATCGACTTTCAATTATATACTTGCCAGGGTGAGTCTGTACATTGATGGGCACGTTGTTTTTGTACCTATGGAGCAGCAATGAAACAGTATGTCACAAATGGAAGCATATAATCATATACTTTTAAAGGTCAAGTGCTTGGTGTTTGAAACAGAACATCAGTTTCTGCACGTTTCTCCTAAATCAACTGTAGTCTAATTACCTGGAAAGACATTATTAAGAGAAGCTTAGCCTCTCTTTCTCTTTGACTTGCCCCAGGTGAATGTTATTTTTTAATTAAAAGGAGAAAATAGTATTGAATAGGGTGAAAACCAACGGTTTTATTCAATATCTTTATTGATGGTCTGGATGAGGGAATTGAGTTTGTAGATGACACCAAGTTGGGTGGAAGTGTTGATCTGCTCGAGGGCAGGAGGGCTCTGCAGAGGGATCTGGACAGGCTGGATCGATGGGCTGAGGTTACTTGTATGAGGTTCAATAAGGCCAAGTGCTGGGTCCTGCACTTGGGTCACAACAACCCCATGCAACGCTACAGGCTTGGGGAGGAGTGGCTGGAGAGCTGCCCGGCGGAAAGGGACCTGGGGGTGCTGGCTGACAGCCGGCTGAACATGAGCCGGCAGTGTGCCCAGGTGGCCAAGAAGGCCAACAGTGTCCTGGCCTGTATCAGCACTAGTGTGGCCAGCAGGAGTAGGGAAGTGATTGTGCCCCTGTACTCGGCACTGGTGAGGCCGCACCTCGAATCCTGTGTTCAGTTTTGGGCCCCTCACTACAAGAAGGTTGTTGAGGTGCTGGAGCGTGTCCAGAGAAGGGCAACGAAGCTGGTGAGGGGTCTGGAGAACAAGTCTTATGAGGAGCGGCTGAGGGAACTGGGGAAGAACTCTCCTCCTGGAGAAGAGGAGGCTGAGAGGAGACCTTATTGCTCTCTACAACTACCTGAAAGGGGATTGTGGTGAGGTGGGTGTTGGTCTCTTCTCCCAAGTAACCAGCGATAGGACAACAGGAAATGGCCTCAAGTTGCACCAGGGGAGGTTTAGATTGGATATTAGGAAAAATTTCTTCACCGAGAGGGTGGTCAGGCATTGGAACAGGCTGCCCAGGGAGGTGGTGGAGTCGCCATCTCTGGAAGTGTTCAAGAAACGTGTGGATGTGGTGCTTCAGGACATGGTTTAGGGAACATGGTGGCACTGGATTAATGGTTGGACTTGATGATCTTGAAGGTCCTTTCCAACCTTAGTGATTCTGTGATTATATTACCATGAATTTCACATTACTGCTTGCAAGGGAATCGAGGATTCACATGAGCAACATCTCAGAGTTTTGTGAATTACAAACAATGAAAATTCTGTAGCATCCTTATCTTATCTACTAGGTATTGTACACATTTTGTTTGGTTTGCATATTTGATCTACTTTTAAAACCAACACATTCACAAAAATGTCAGGTAGAAAAATAACTTTTTTTTACTTGCATAGCTAGGTTGGCAGAAGCCCTGATGCAGGCTAGGGTTACAGTGGTTAAAAAAATTTGTCTTGATGGTAAAATGCATTGCAGCGAGGGATCTGGCAAAAGCTGTACTACTAAAAACTTCTCTGCCATTACAAGTATACACTACAGGTGGGTTTTTTTGGTACAGGTATATCTTCAGGTAGGAAAAGTTTACTGTTCAAAATTTCCAGTAAGTAATTTGAAGGAATGAACCAGTACTACTCAGTCGTGAGCTGGCACTGCTAATTTCAGAATTTATATAAACAGCTTGAGACTCGAGAGCTCAGTGGTTCATGGTGGATCCTTCCTCTCCAATCATGCATAAAAAGTCACTCATTCTAGACAATACATGGTGTAAACAAGAAAATGTTCAAGTGAATCCTGTCTTAAGTGAACGCTATTAATATGGAACAAATTGGCAATAGGAGTCTAATAAAATTAAACACTGAATTGTGTTCAGTACATTTGGGGTTGGTATGAGGTCTATAAAGAAAGAGCATTCCCTAAGATGATGTCCTCCTTTAGCATAGCTTTCCCTGTGTTCCGTAAGGTGTTGTACATAAGGGAAGTGGAAATATGAATGATGATAGATAAAAGTATCTTTATCTCTTACTTCGATGTAGCATAAACAAACCTTTCTCTTCATAAGTCATAACAGTTATCCATCCAAAAAGCTTTGCTTCTTCATTTCAGATTTTAAAGGTCAGTTTTTCTCATGATTTTCAATCAGGAAAGGGAACTGCTCTGCTGTCAGTGACATGCCCCACTTCACCAAACAAGTCAGTAATAAGCTATTTTATTTTTACCAAGAATATTACTAGTTTAATATGTCTCAAGATGAAGCTATATCTGCAATAAATCTGAAAATTGCCTTTCAACAATTTCAGTATTGTGGAATAAAGAATATTTCCCTGGCTACAAATACTTGGGCACAGTATTACACTGGGATTTTTCCAAGTGCCAAAGTGAGTGAGGATCATAAACCCTAACGCTTTTCATCCTGATCTTCCCCTCAGCAAGTTGTCTATGAAAAAAGACTCAATGCAGGGCAGTACCCTCTATTCCAGACTTCAAATAGTTGCAGAGATGCTTGACATCATTACAGGTCTCCTACTGCATTATCCTGACTTACAGCAAAGAATAACACATGGGTAAATGTGTAAGTAAATTCATTTGCCACTGCTCTTCACCTCATCCGTGCAATGGTGCCCCTCAGACTGATCTGCATGGGAACATCTCAACATCTTTATATTCCATGTACTGTGTCAAACAGTTTAGAAAATAGAATAATGCCATCGGCTCCTAATATTTTCCAGAGAATATGAAATCCTGTGAAACAGGATTTGACTCCATAATGTCTTAAACTTTTCCCCAAAGGGTGACCCTTGGATCCCATTGGCAGCGAGGGCATTCAGTAGCATGTGGTGCTGTACAGAAACAAGCGGAGTCAGGCAGCAGTGAGAAGACTTCCACTTCTCATCTTCATTATCAGGTTAGTAAAAAATAATTGATTGAATTTGCACGTATTTATATTCCTCTATGGAAAGAATAGGGCTCATGTTAGAAGGACCACTTGTTATTTCTGGAAACACAAATTCCAGAATAGCCGAGTCATTAGCTAATGTTGGACTGCAACCTCCCACTGTCATTATGCACTGATAGTTCATGCTTTCTGCTACTGGTTTCAAATGTCCTGGGTTTTCCATATGCTTTTTCCAAGGGAGTCAGAACAGCTGCATCACACAGTATGGTTTTCTTTAGAGAAAGTTCATGAAGCTTTATAATTTATCATGCACAGCATGAAAAGGTCTTCACTGCTTATACAAGGAATGACTGTTTAGAATAGACGACTGACATTTCATTAGAAATGCTGAATGAAAGCTGACAGATCCAGGTCAGCACTGTTCTGTGTCTCTGAGCAAAGACACCCGCTGAAATGGCTGTGAACTCTTTTTTTCCATTAGTAGCCCGTGGCAAACTGAAATCCCTTTGGAATTCAAATGCAGTGTAAAATGATGTATTAATTTCCACCATCCACATTTAGCACTTCGATGAAAGGCTGTTTCACAGTGAGAGCAAAGGCAGACAGCTGAAGGCTTGGTTTAACCGTGTCAGGTTTTTGGAATAAGGTGAATCTTAACCAAAGTTAAAATGGCCCAGCTCTCCTGTTCTTGGTTAGGATTCAGATTATGGAGCTGGATTACAGCCATGAGCATAGCTGACCGTTCCTTCTGTCCAGCTGAGACCAGACCCAAAGGTTTTGTCTGGAATACTCTCTAGAAAGAATGTCAAAACTGGGCGTTCGCAGCTCTTACACCATAGGAAAAATGTGTCTGTGCAGAGCCTGGCTGTTGGTTGTCATAGTCTAAGAAGAGAGATCAAGAGACTTCATGGGCATCAGCTCTGGCCTATTAATGTACCTCTTAGTAACACTTTTTATCTAGCCCTGAGATTAAGGTTTTTAAGACCTAAATAAACACAGAGTCCATTAAGCAATTCAAGTAGTAAATTGCAAAATGAGTATTACTTGACATAATGATATAGTCAATGTTTTCTGTTGTCTCCACAAATAGAATCTCCATGGGACTCATTCCTAATTAATGCTTAATGCTGAACACAGGCTTACTCTGTTCATTTTATAAAGACATTCATACATTTTATATACACATTCTAGAAGAATCTTTTAAATTAAATAATGAGGATCAAGTCTCATTTTATATTTGAAAAAAAGTTATTTCCTATTATCTTAACAGCTTGATGGTATCTCTGTAGCATGAAACAGCTAAGAAAGATCAGCTCAATACATGGTGAGACAGTAAAGCTTCACAAGCCATTGTTAATTAAGCTAAATTGGAAAGCTTCCAATAGACTCCAAAGCTTTCAGAAGTTTTGGATGGTCCTGGATCTGTTGGCAGTCTTTGACTTCAAATAATTATGATGTGTCTGCTATGAACAACCTGCATCATGAGATTTCAATTCCATGGAGATTCCAGGACTACAACTGCTCAGCAGCCAAGCAGCCAGTTCTTAACCAAACCATGCTTTAATGCTTCAGGGACATTAATGGCATTTGAAGGCTAAACAGAAGTATTTGGAAAACATTCTTTTAAGGGTAGTACTGGTGGTAAATTAAATTGCTATTTTTCGTTCATCAGGAGGCAGAAAGAATATGTTGGATGTCTCTGTACAAAAAAAACCCAACCCAACAACCTATGTATTCTTATGGTTGTTACACAAAGAATTATTTTGCCTTTTAATATTTTGCTTTCTTTTTGTACCAGGTGACTTGAAAGGTGTTTGACAGGCCTCTCTGTGCCTGATTTTTTTGTTGAACATATATCTTTCCTGAAAAAATGCCACATTCAGTGAGATGACTTCAGATATTGGTTATGTGGTGACTTTCAGTGATAGATACAACTTACCATGTAACACGGGGTGCTGGCCAGCCAGCCACAGAACAATGAAATTTGACATTTTGCTTTTCCCAGATTGTGTGAGAACGAGGCTCGATAATAAACTCAGGAGCATGTAAAAGTTTATCTTGATTCAACTTTTTGTGGAAGGCCTGAGTATCTTCTAGCTGGAAAAGAAACATTTAATTATAAATTCCAGCAGTTAAGTGCAAATTATTAATACGCAAAAAGCATTTTTTTAAGACCAGTAAAAAAATATGCAATTTTTATTTAAAAATCCAAAGAGACATACTTCATGTATTTATCCCACCTGGACACAGAAAACAAAGTTGTCATCTTCAAGAAGGTCTTCCAAAATAGCTAGATTTAATTTTACATTTTTTTTTTCCCTTAAAACTATTCTAAGTAAAATAATTCTCCACATTTAGGTTTTTTTTTTTTAAATACATAGTGAAAGGTGAGAAATAGGTCTGAAACTGAGATCTCTTCTGTACTTTTGCTCTAATGAAAGATCATGTATGCTAGATCACCTCTGACAGACCCGCTCTCAAACCTTTCTTGCCAATGGGATCTTTCATGCTCCTGGGTTAACTGTTTCAACTGCTCGGCTATCCACAGTGCTGGGAAAAATTCCTTAATATACTATAAATCTTGCTTCCTGCAAACTAAACTATTTATTTTCTGCCATAACTTTCACATATGTGGAGAATTACAGTTCCCTGTATTAAGGTTATTAGTAGAAGACAGCTTTCATAATCCTCTCAGTCTTTTATAAACTGTGCAACAGTGATTGTCCTTACAATTGTTGTTTCTCATCTCTGAACAGGTTCCACTTGTCCTCAAGTTCATAAAACAGTAGCTACTTATTATCAGAGGTCCAACAGTCTCCAACACAATTAAATAATCACCCCCCATGTTTTAATGACAATACTTTTGTTAATACACTCTGGAATGGCATTTGTTTTTATACAACAGTGACTGACATTAAATTGACTGACACTAAATTTGTGACCTGTTATAACTCCCAAATCCTCCAGTACTTCTACCTAGTCAGGCATTCCTCATTCACTTGTTCTTTTTCTTCTGTGTGTAGTAATTTCCATTGGGTGTTATCAAATTCTACCTTCATTGTTTCTCAATTTTTGAGATTATTTTTAAATTTACCTTGTCCTTTAAAGTGTTTACACCCTTTCCAACCTCATCATGCATTGTATAAGCATATTGCCAATTATTCTGCTCAAAACATTAATAAATCTGCTAAATGAAATATATTTGTACTTGGTATATTCTGCCAGTCTAGTCATAACGTATTTCTAACTATCATCTGAGTATTATTTTCAAGAAGTTGCACAATAATATCAAAGTTACCCACAATTATAGCCTCAATTCCAGATGTCTTGGGCAATTCCCTCCCTAATTTACACCCTGTGGTTAAAACTCTGGGGCAAACACTTTGGACAAGCTTGTTCCCAGGCCATAAAAACCCAGAAATTACCCTGCCTTCTTATTGGCAAGATACATATATTGGCACCTTTCTTCTCTGCCCAGCAACAGCCTCATTGTTCAGGTGAAGGATGCTGTGCTATTTAACTAGGTGTGGACAAGACCAAAGAGCATTCCCCAGCCACGTTCTCCCTCCCTCTCTCCCAGCACAACAGAAGCGTTCCTGGTGCCTACTTCAGGCACTGAACCTCTTTTCTTATCCACCTGACACCAAGATAACAAGACTTTAAGTCATTGAAAAGACTTTCATTTAAAATACTTTGGGTTTTACTACTATTATTGTGTTTCCCCATGGTGTAAATCAGGGCACTGATGTGCTAGGCACTTTACAAACACCAGACAAAAAAGACCCATGCTGTTTACATTCTATGTGTTCATTTCTACTCTTTTACCGTTTTCTTCAGGGCCACACGTTCAGCAGACTCCCGGATCGCTACTTTCCTTGATTTTTTTTCATGATGCTCCTCTTCAGAAGTTGACTTGGCCACTTTGCTGACACTAACTCCTTCACCTGTGGCAAAAAGGTTCCTCTTGGCAACATATGCAGCACTTTCTTTAATTCTTTCTTCTTCCGTGTCTGTGATCCCACTGATACTCACTTCTCTGAAAAAAAATTTAAAAAGCAGAATCCCATTGGAAAATGCTGAGAACGTATTCCCTTTATACTTTCTATCAAATTAGCCAACTACAGTGGCCAACGCTCTTTCATAACGTATTTCTGCCATTACAGTCTCATATGTATTCAAAGCAGAAACATGGAAGGGTACTGCAGAATGATTGAGTATTTCACTGTCTAAAGTCATGGCCATTTTCAGTGACTCTCTGCACGAGACGGTCATATGCCATACACATTTTCAGTTTAACCATTATCCTGCTGTGGTTTTATATCTCCATCACTATAAAGACGAGTGTAAGGCATACCCACTGATCTTCAGTTACTGACTTACGGCTGCAGCATTCATAATATGCTACCAAAGGGGCAGGGGATAATTTTAGCTGTATAACAATGCCCTTCTTTGTGATTTATACAAAAAAGCACATTACTGTATATCACAAAAATTCTCTTTATCCATAGAAAAATCAATCCTGTAATGTTTGTAGGGCAACTGTTCTTCCAAATGTTTTCAAGATGATTAAGGATTTCCTAGAAGACCCTCCTCAGGCTTTCTACAGATGTGGGATTCACAACAGGTCCAATCCTGTTTTCACATGCACGTGTGGAAGTACCGTTGCAGCCATATTGTTTTGGCACTGTCAGGACATCATAGCTGATATAGCGGCGCATATGCAGTGAGAGTTCCTGCACTTAAGAAGAAGCATTAATAACCTTCTGCTGAGTTTAGTTACTTTAGAGTAACATTAGATGGCACACTGAAAAGTTTCTGTTTAAGTTCTGCTTAAGTGCCATCTTGCAAGCACTACAGAGAAAGCAGCTTCTGTTTATTTCCAGAATGCACTCAAGCACAGCCTCGCTATTTTATTATAAAACACTTACTGCTACTACAAAACAAAAAGATTAGGAAGAACGATTTTTTCCTGTTTTTTTTTTTTTTTAAGATTGCTAATATTACGCATTTGATAGCACATTGCAACACTCAAGAAAATTTGGATTCAGCCCATAATTAACTGTCCAACCCCTTATCTTTGGGTTATGAAGTCAATTAAGTGAGATGCAAGACAGCCAAGGAGTGGAATGTGCTGGAAAACTAACTACTGATAAAAATTGCTCAAAAGACTAAAAAACTTACTTAACAGCACAGAGCTTTGACCTCCCTCATGTGTTCAAACTCTGCTTTGAGCTTTCTGTGTTTCGGGCTGCTTTAAAAGGATGATCCTTAAAACTACCAACGGGACAATATCCCTTCACTTAGGCACATCAGCTCCCATCCGAAGCTGCAGAGATTTCTAAAGACAATTTTGAAAACTCAGTTTAATGAATATGAATGTAGCTATCTATATTCAGTTTAAAGGAATCAGTGGCATTTTCCTTCAGAGGCAAGTCGACATTATTTCCTCCTTAATTACAGTAGTTAAGATCTCAGCAACTTCACAGTATGGACCCACTCCACAAGGCATAAAGCATCTTCTGGGAGCTGATGAATATCCTCAGACTAATATAGGACTCAGCCTAGTCATCTGCAGTAATGGTCCCCAGATGCTTTTGATCAACAGTATTAAATATTTAGATTTGCTAATCATTTCTTCCTGTTTCAATCTTCCCAGATCAAAGAGAAGCTTGTTCCCTGAAATGATGACTACATCAGACACAGCACCATTTAAGAATTGATTCTGCCATCAAGTCTCGAGAGTTTCAGTAGGAAACACTTTTCAGACAGATACAATGGGATCAAACCCCAAATGGCACACAAGGGTATCTGCCATCTGCAGTCCTTTGGGGTAGGATTATTAGCTATTGCAAATAGTTCCACCAGCCACACCCAGTATGTTTAGCACCTATGGCATTAAATCAAGCTTTGGGTGGTTTATTATCTAGAATACAGTCTGGCTGTTTCTAATTTTATTTTGCAAGGATTATGCTAGGTGTTTAAGATGAACAGTTGTGAAGTGAATAATCTGAGTGAATTTTTTACACTGAACCTGAGGGCTCCGAAATAGAACCAAATAATGGAAACGGTGACACGGTGCTGAAGGTCATGCAGCAGCACGGGCAACAGCTCCCATGAACCCACAGAGAGCTGACCTTTATAAATAACTATTCCCTATAAAAGCTATCTGCCCATGGGAAACAACACATCAGTTTCACAGGGGAATTTTGGAATGACACGTAACATGCACATGGTTCAATGGGCTTCAGCTGTTATCTTTCAAACAAAAATAAATATCTGACAGGAAAGTGGCATGCAACTTCCGCGGTCTTGGCATGTGGTCATGAACACGATGCCAACAGAAAAAAAGCCTAAAACAGATATCCCAATCATTTCATGCCATGTTGAGTTGGGCACCCTAGCAATCACTATTTATATTTTTTAACTAATTAAAAAAAATCTATTCTGGTCATTTCAGTGGCACGAAAGCACACACAACTTCTGAGTTGCACTTTTCCATGTGCAAAAAGTAAGACTGATAGTAACAACAGTAAGAAGAAAAAGAAGAATAGTGACAATGTAAGAATCCAACAGCATCTTTTAGTGTAGCATCCTAAAGTATTGCACAGACACAAATAAATGAAGCTACACACCATCACACTGAATTAGATATCACTGTATTAATTTTACAAAAAAAGTAAAATAAAAAAGAAAGGTCGTGATTGGTTAAGGTTGCAGGAGCCTGTATAAAAGCTCATAATCCAAGAGTACTAGCCGTTAGTCATGATTTCCAGCTATTGACCAACACTGTAAGTTTTACTTTTGTAGACTCTAGACACAATAAAAAGGGAGAATATTTGTGTTTGAGGGCATGGGAGACAGATGATGGCAAACTGCAAATCTGCTGCTATGTAAGCAGAAACACTGGCTGAAGCACCACGGTAGCGAGAAGCCTTGAAAATATGTTACCGCAAGTTTTGAGAGAGACATATTTATGTATTTCTGTCACAGAAGATATAGCTGAAACTCCAAATAACTGGTTTAATAATGCAACAGTGTGTGCTTCTGAATGTTGGTTGGATCAAAAAGCAGTGAATCTGACACAGAAATGTATGAGGGGTGAGTAAAAAACTACTCCAGGATAGTGGAAGGGAATTACAGAAACACTATCACAGAAACACTAGGTTGGAAAGGACCTTCAAGATCATCAAGTCCAACCATTAATAAAAACCAGAACTCCTGGTGTCATCACAAAAGCATCATAAATGCTCAAAGAGCCAAAGCAATAACATCTCCCACTGACAAGGTGGAACTCAGTTTCACATGAAAGCACAAGTTTGGACACAAAGCAGAACTAACACTGAATGTTGATTAAGCAGTAGACAGAAAAACACTGACTCCCAGAAACAGCTTGGAAGTGTCCCATGAGATATGCAGTGCTGCAGAAGACAGACAAGTTGAAGGAAAGTTTCTTTTCAACTGCAGGTGGGCAAGAAATTTTTCTCCTGGACTCCAATTAGGAGTCAGTTTCCACACCACACCCCAGTATGTATTGATCTGAAGAAATTATGCTTGAACTGCCAGAGACTCCTTATAAAATCAGTATGCCATACCCCAAAAAGGGCAGGGGAGCCTCCTTGCTCGTGTTCATCCTGGCTTCTGCCTAAAGTTCACATTCAGCTTTACTGAGGACACTGCTGCAGTAAGACACATTACATCAGTAGTAACCATGCAATAAATACCACCAACACATGAGATCAGTATGAATTGTTACAACGGATTTGAGAAAGAACTTGGTTTCATTCCAGTTTTTCTTTGTGCCAGGACAAAACATTAGCACATCACAGAATCACAGAATTGTTAAGGTTGGAAAAGACCTTCAAGATCATCAAGTCCAACCATTAATCCAGCACCACCATGTCCCCTAAACCATGTCCTGAAGCGCCACATCCACACGTTTTTTGAACACTTCCAGAGATGGTGACTCCACCACCTCCCTGGGCAGCCTGTTCCAATGCTTGACCACTCTCTCAGTACAGAAATTTTTCCTAATATCCAATTTAAACCTCCCCTGGTGCAATATGAGGTCGTTTCCTCTCATCCTATCACTAGTTACTTGGGAGAAGAGAGCAACACCCACCTCACCACGACCCCCTTTGAGGTAGTTGTAGAAAGTGGTAAGGTCTCCCCTCAGCCTCCTCTTCTCCAGACTGAACACCCCCAGTTCCCTCAGCCGCTCCTCATAAGACTTGTGCTCCAGACCCCTCACCAGCTTCGTTGCCCTTCTCTGGACACGCTCCAGCACCTCAACGTCCTTCTTGTAGTGAGGGGCCCAAAACTGAACGCAGTGTTCGAGGTGCGGCCTCACCAGTGCTGAGTACAGGGGCACGATCACTTCCCTAATTTTGAAACATCGTTTCATTGCTTCTATGTTTAATGCTTGGTAAGAGATTGAATTACAGAACAAGTCTTCAAGCCAAAAGAATAAGCTAAATAATATGGACAACATGCTTGTCCTGTTCACAGTAAGTAGGGTTATAATTAAATCTTAATTTTACAGAAAATGGCCCTGAAGACGTGTTCAAAGCAAAGTCCAGACACCTCGGTTCATTTATCCCGGCTCTGGATGTTCAATGTCAGATTTTCTGCCAGTCAGTTGACTTCTCTTTGTCTTTTTATCACTCATGTGAAGTGCAAACAAGCACCTTGAGATCCCATAGTGTAAAAAAAGGATTAATGGATTTGTTACTTTATATTTTTTCAATAAAACGTCAGAAATAAGATACCAAATAAAAGGAAAATGAACATACCGTCCTGTGAATATGGGCACTGAGTAGTCTATGGCTTCATTCTCTTTGTCCTCAGATACCAAATTCTGTTTTGCTCTCTTTGCTTTGGGACTCATCTTATAGGATTGATCTTCAATCATTAAATTGGAATCTTTCAGTCTGAAATAAAAATAATATTACTAAATTCAGAAAACAAAGCTCTTAAGAAACTCTTCAAAATGATATTGCAGTACTATAAATGTTTGCTCTCTGTTGTTTGACAAGCAAGAAAAGCCATGACTTCAGAGTTTTTAAACACAAAACTAAATGCACTTTTGACAAACTCACCATTACAAATATAACATTGATATCCCTTGATATTAAATATAAACAGAGAGAATAAAAAATATACTGGATAGCAATGTACATTTAATAGCTCCTTGTCTTGGAACTTGGAGCGTTTGTATACCCAGTTTTGGTAGATCCTGAAGTCACTGAGACCACTGGGTAATTCTGAAGATTGTATCTGAACACATAATCTCTACTTTTCCAAAATTTACAGTCCTGAAATTGTCTGGTCCCCAACCAAAACGTTGATGTGCAAATATACTCAAAGTAATAAAGCCTTAAGTCCCTGTAGAGAAATTGTAGGGCAGCGTATTGCTCAGTAGACAGTGTTGCCTTTCCCACTGCTCTCCTATACCACCCCAATCCACTGAAAGAGGACAGCTGCGTGAAGTAACGCCATTTAACGTAGCACAGATAGACGGAGAAAGAAAGTAGAAAGAAAGGTGAGTGGAAAGAAAGAAGAGCGAACCACAGGGAAGGCTTCCCCTCCCCACAGCCCAGGCAGAGTAAAGTAAAAGAGATGAAGTGAAACAGGGTATTCAATGGCCTCGCTCCTGGGTTGGGCAACGTTGTGGTGCAGTCACTACAGTCAACCACAAATGCATTGGGAGAACTCATTGTCAAATAAATGGTGAGAAACGTCAAAGGCAAAGCATTTTAATTCTTTTTCAGAAATGAACTCTGGTCTGTAAGGAGCTGCAGTTCTTTACTTAGCAGGTGACTTTTATTGCTGTCCTATTTTAAAATGGAACAAATCTGGAATTTTGACTCTGACCGACACTGGTTTTCCTAGGGGCTTTAGGCTGAACCCTTTAGGAGGCCACTTGATTCCTAGTTGTTTCTAGATCAAGAAGGATCACAGTATTGTTTGAACTTCAGTCTAAATGTCAAGAAGTTTCTATTTTCATAAAAGTAGATGAAATGTTGTGAAAATTTCAGCTTAGGCATTTTCAGCACTGTTAAACCCAGACTTGCTCTTTGTTCCTAAAGAATTTCTCTGTCCTGTCAGTTTAGTTTTCAGTTAAGGTCCAGATTATACATTCATGTAGGGAATTAATGGGGAGCATACATAGCAGTTCTCATCACTCTCCACTAGACCTTTTGTTGATGTCTTTCCTACATGGTGGGTTTTTTTCCTATCTAAACAACCGTCTAAAATTATTTGAAAAGGGAAGAATAAATTGCTATAGGTTCTGTTTGTTTGATTTATTTTTTTTTTATCAAACACTACAAGCGTGTGAAATTGAGTATCTCACTTTCATTTTTTCTGCCTTCCATAGCTGGCTTTATGAAAATATCCCCCAAATCCTTCATATTGCCAGTGATCTCCATCACAATGTAGCTTGAGAAACCGGAATGGAACTGGGATTTTTACTGAGGTATGATGACTAGGATAAAAACACTGTACAAGCATAGCTGATTCCCACTCTATTCTGAGTTTTCTAAACTGCATGTCTCTTGACTGAGGCACCTTTCACTGCAGCCACCTGATTATTTTCTGAATTACAGATGCTGGATCCTTCATGTTATCGCGTCCTTTGGTTAACCCTTGTGTGTTATGTGCTCAAGACCAGAAAAGCATTAAGAATGCCTTTTCCTCTCTTCTTCTTTCTCTGGAATGGGCAGCTGCAACAAGAGTCGTCATGCTATCTTCTAAGAGCAAAGGTTGGGTCCCAATACTCTGTAGCGGTTACAGAAGAGGGAGCACTCGCCTATCAAAAGCACAGATGATAACTATGAGCTGAGTAACGGATCTATGTGGATCCCTGTAATTGTCTGCTGTTTCAGATTGCTAACATGACACTCCAACCAATTTACTTCAGTCATTTTCTCTTCCAAAAACTTGGCCTGGACCAAGCAGCGCCCCAGTGAGAAGTGTTTCATTGAATGACGCCAATGGTGCTTTTAGACCAGTTTCCTCTTCCAGCAATGGTTAAGAGCAGGTAAAAAGAAAGCTTATGTAGAGAAATACTTGCCCCGATAAACCCTTTTGGTTTCAAACAAATGCGGAGGTACATCCTGAGCCAAAGGTTGCATGCAGTGAGTATGCATACAGAGGCTGTAGCAGTGAGTTTTCAATTTATTTATATATGAAAATGACACTTTCTTTTGAATCTGTTTTAATCTGCAACTCTATAATCTCTTTTGTGCTTACTTGCTGCTCTGAATGAGAAATAGTAAAAATTGTTCCTTGTTCACTCTCTGCACATCTTTCACTGTTTTATACATTAAGATTACACGCTCATGTTTGCCTCTGTCCCAAGGTAAGAGCTCTAGTGTCTTACCTTCTCTAGGCAGAAGGTATTCCACACCTCCCACTACCCTCCTTGCTGTTCTCTGACCCTTTCCTAGTTTCAGACTGTACTTTTTAAGATGAGATGATCAGAACTGTACCCAGTATTTCAGCTACGAGCATACCCTGGATTAACACACTGACACAATATGCTTTCTGTTTTATTTTCACTTTCCCTTACAGCTGTTCCAAAATTTCTAATTGCTTCATGACCACATCAGAGCTGGTGTTTTCAGAGAGGTGTCCAGAGTAACTCCAAAATCTTTTTTTAGAGTTACACTGCATAAATCAAGAGCTAAGTAAGTTTTAAGCAGTAGAAAATATTTCTCCTTTCCAAATCCTTCTATTGTTTGCTTTTGTTCAGGCAGAGCTATATGGAGGCTAGTAGAAATGCATATTCAAATAGAGATCTTTGCATGGGAAAACAACTTGGTCACTACTTCTATCATGAAGATTATTTCCCTGTTTTCCTTTTTTGTTATTACTGTTTCTTCCTGTTCAACACAAAATCCAAACCCTTTCTACAAACATTATTTAGGTAGCCCAAAGGAGGACTCTGCTTTCTTGAACGAGATGCTAAAATCTTGCCCTTTATTTTAAAATGTTCCAACCTTTTACTTGATATGTGGAACAGAATCTCCCTGGAGGAGAAGGAACAGGGTATCAGTGCTCTCTAGTTTCACAGGGCTGAACAGTACCGTGACCTTTTAACAGCTTTCAGCCTCATTTGATATGCCCAGCTAGCGTATGTATGTTTTTTTCCAGGTCAGATACTATCTGTACTGTCTTATCAAGGTTAGTGACCTAAGCTTAGTGTCCTCATTTCTTGATGGTTTTTAGCATATTAAAATATCAACGTCAGCATTTTCTTTGCTTCTCAGTAGAGTCACTGAATTGGGAGTTGGGTGACTGTAAATGCTAAAGGCACAGGTATTGTCCTGTAAAGGGGTAAAGAACAGGTAGACACTGTTCACTTTTCCCTCTAGCCCAACAGAGGAAATAAATACAACAACATTGTGCAGGGCTTCTGAAACTCCCAAACAGAGGTTTTGTTTTGATGTCTTATTCTGCAATATAAATATACTTCAGCATGTTGGCACCGCCCTTGTTTCTGTGCCTGAGGGGACAGGTTTCCAACCCTGCACAAAGAAAGCCTGCACCCTGTGGATGGAGAAATGGGTCCTACGGACCACAACACCCTATTCCTTAGATAATCCACCCCCGCATGAAAAGGCACCTGTAAGCTCATTTACACCCCTGGAAAATCGTGTATCTTGTCCTTAGCATGATTTTCTTATGTGTCCCTCACTTTATTCCAACAACAGGCAGGGATGCATTTGGCGTACACAATAGCTGTACCAGCTGTACCTGCTGGAGGAGCTCCATTAGCCAAGAGGCATTTTCCAGGACATCTTTCCAGCAGCTGCTTCTTTCCTAATATGCAGTGTTAGAATTTACTCACCATAAAGAGGAGAGAGTTGATTGGCAAACCCAGTTACAGGAGAGAAAAAAAAAGGATTTTCACAAGAGAGCTCTTTAAAGCCAGCCTCTAAAGGTGAGAAGTGCTCTCCGGTGACTATATTCATTTTAAGTTGCTGACAGATTTGTCACAGGCCCAGGCAATATTGCTGGCAATAATCATGCTGTTCCCTAACACAGCTTCCACAACAAATTTTTTTAAAGGGGAATTGTTTCCACATAGCAGGTCTCATTAAAACAATTTCCACGCTTGGCTATGACGTATGGAAGCCACCTTCTTAGCCCTCACCTATAATAAACCCATGGATGAGCAGTGCCAGCAGGGATCTCAAGATCACAGTATTCTCATGTTTCTTAAAGTGTGTTATTTACTCAGCCCTGTCCCGGTCCCGGTTACAATAGTGCTAAGAACAGCACTCACTCTTAATGTCTGGCAGCCTAATTGATCGCAAGCTAGTAAGGCATCTCTCCTCTGTTTGCTTGGTTCACCTGACTTGTCATTTTTGCCATTTCTCCTGACCTGCAAAACATATGCAAATGCCCAAGCCACACCAACAACTTGTGTTTTCTCTCTAAGCAAGTCTCCGGCCTATTTGGTGGCCGATAACCAGTTTGTGACGCGATGGGATCATCCGATGCTGGCGGCCAGGAAAGTAACATGTAGAAAAGCCCTGGAAGTTTGAGCAAAGGCAAATGACTGAGCTTCCAAAAAAAAAAAAAAGTGGGTTTAACCCATTTGACAGGCCTTTAGTGTTGTAAGCATCTTTGGCAGACCTGACTCAAAGCTTCTCGGAAGCACATGGAGCAGTGCCATGGGAAGAAGGTTCTCCCATGGAGAGAGCTGGAGCCAACCTGCCCACGCCAGCAGCCCCCAAGGACAGGACAGGGAAGAGGACGGGTGGCCACAAGAAAGCTTTTGTGAAAGAGCTGCCACCCCTTGCCTGTATGGACCCTGCCTGCTCCTCAGGGGAAGCAGCACGCCCCGCTTCTCCTGGCTCTGCGGAGGCCAAGGAAGCAGCATTCGGCTAGAGGTGGCCTGTGAGCTGGTAGAGACGACTAGGTGTGAAGTGGCAACCTTTACACAGTGAGACTTGCTTTCTTTTAGGAGCCCAGGGTTTTGCAAATTGTAACCAGGAAAGCTGCAAGCTTCCGTACTTGCTCTTGATTTTGCCAGTTTTCATTTCTCTCCTTTCACTTCTTCAGGCTGTCATGGTGTGAAGAAGGCTTGAAATGTGGGGAAGGGACAACCCACTTGCAAACAGAGCCCTTTTTGTCCTCATGAAAAAGCAAGCTGTAGCTCCTTCAAGCTGTCTATGTCCATGCTCTGGGCAAGTTTTCCACTTAAGTGAGGTTCCAATGTCAGAGAATTGGGCTCAGGTCAAGTTCTTGCAGGTTACTTAGTCCCTAGTCCTTCTCCACTGCTTTTCCGTGATAAATTGCTCACATAGCACTACCTGTATGTCAACAGTGTTGCTTTATGAACACTGTCTTCTGTACGGTAGCCACAGAAAAGGATGAGGCTTAAATTTTGCAAGTATAGTAAAGTTTTGCAGAAGCTACTTTAGATAAAAATAAGAAGTGACCTGAATAAAAGCTTAATATTTGAATAGCTTAGTATTTGAATAGTATCTTTTTCCTGTTGAGCTTAATGGAGTCTATCCACAAAACTAGATCCATTATACATAAAGGTATATTTGATGTTAAAATCCAGTGATAAGCAATAATCAATCGTTAGCTGAAGAATTTTATCTGGATTTAGATTCATATACGCATTCAGGTTTTAAGCAACCACCACTGTTGTTGGTCATTTAGATACAGCATTTCAATTCGGGGGCCTTTCTACTTTTTGAAAATTGAAAGTTTTTGAAGACGTATTTTCTTTTTTTTGCTACACCTTTCCTTTCATACAGATGAAATCAGAAAGTCTTTGATTTGCCAGATTTATTTCAGTAACACTTTTTGTCTCCACATTATCCCTTGAAGTGTTTTGGGCTATCTGGGGAAGATAGTAGAAACTTGGAAAGAATTTCTTTGAATTGGCACTACATTTAACCATACAGTCACATTGCATTATTTGTTCTACTTTGCCTCTTGCAAATTGCAGCAAAATGGGCTGCAAAAACCACATAAATACCAACATAGGGGCCATATTAACCATAAAATTAGGTTAGATACTGAGATTAGAATTCAGAAACACATTCTCTCATGTATTAATTAAGTTCTGTGCAAGAGAGATTTAAATCACAACATAGGTCTGATTTCCTGAGTCCTAGTCTTACATAGCAGCACTGAGTTTTGCAAACCACCAACACAAGGACAGGATCACAGAAAAAAAAGTTAACAGCTGAGACACTCTTACCTCTGCTTACCAGGATAGCATATCAATCTGTTGGCAACTCTTGTACTACAGAGTAGCTTGGAAGTATCACCAAATACACTATTTGGAAACAAAAGCTGTTATCTCAAACAAAACATCAGGAAGCCTGGAAATGTTTTAAGTTCTCTCCCAATTAAACAATTCCATTTCCTTGACTATTATTTTGCTGATGTTAGAGGAGTTTTTGATGAGAATATACAGGTTTCAGAAGAAACTCATCTGACAAACCAGAGTCACTGAAGTGTTTGTAACTGGGACTTGGAAGCAGGTTTTTTTTACAATAATTTTTTGCAACTTCAAGTAATCTTCCCATTTCTTATGGGAATGTTTTCTGTGAGAAGGAGGTGGCTTTGTGTTAGGGTCAGCAACAGTGTGTAGGCATAGCTGCATCACTGCAGAAATTTGGAATATCTTCCCCTACCCAACTTTTTCTGGAAACATAATCCTCAGTCCCAGCATTTCCAGTTTGCTTCCCTTCATCAGCTCAACCCAAGACAGTCAAATAGTCAAGTCATTCATCTGGGCTCTAACAGCCTGAGGTTCAAATTCCTGAACAGACCCTGGCAAACAGACACTTGACCCTGAACTTCCTGAAAGCAAAGTGAAGGCTGTAATCACAAGGTATTGTTTACTGCAGTACAGGTAGTCTTTCTCTCAGTGAAAAAAAAATTCCATCTTTAACCACAATCCTTGGAGCATGTTCAGCTTTCAAAATTTAAATTTTCTGATGGACAAGTCTTGGTCAGTTCTGCTAATAATACTCTAAATTTTGTATTAACATAACAGCGAGCAGATGTTTTGGGCTATAATTTGTTGATCATTTCCTCTATTGCTAACAGCTGCTCTAATCTTACTTTAATACTCCCCTAATTTCTGTAAATCTCTGAGATACATACAAATAATGTGAAGCTATGATATCTGAAATATTCTGCTAATATAATGGCTTGAGCAATATTTATTATCTTAATTAAATGAACATCATGGCAGCTAAGTGTAGCTGCTCTTCTAGTACAGGAGGAACACTTCAGGGTATTCTTACTTTGGAAATAGTATGCCTCAACCAATTGACAGTGTGAAAAATTCAATTTCTTGAATCACTCAGCATAAAAATGAAACTATTATGCCGAGGAATAATTCTTTAATGATATCTGGACATGTCAGCTCAAACTTGTGTGAACAGACCTAAGTTCTTTTACTGCTCCAACCTGGACAGATAAGAGCCAGCCTCAACGCTGCGTATTAGCTTCAGCTGTGCTACTACAGCTAAACAACTTGAGAGGAGACGTCATGACTAACCACTTTGGAACACGAAACTCTCATTTGTCATCATTCAGGCAAGTCAGCTTTGCCAGTGCTGTTCTTATGCAATTGAACCATTACATGACTTAGTCCAAAAAACTAATCTGTCATCCACTGTCATTCCCATTGCCAAAGCCAACGGAAAACACCAAGTCTGGAAAATACATTAACACCAAGTTACAGAGCCAATTTCTGTGGAAGAGGAGGAGAGTTTTGCCATTGATTTCAATGGGAGGTGGTTGGATATTTTTGTCCCAGAATATTGTTTCAAAGACAGATTTGCTTACCCAAGACTGTAGGCTTCAGATCCCAGTCTGTATGCTGCAGCCAGTTTGTTGATGGATTCAGATCCATGGCTGTAGGCAGATGAGCTCTTGCTGAGGGACTGAGAGTCAAGACTGTATGCAGCAGATCTTTTACTCTGTGCAGCAGAGTGATCATAGGCTGTAGATCCATAGCTGTAGGCTGCTGACTCAAGGTCATAGGCTGAAGAGCCACGACTATACGCTGCTGAAGAGTCAAGGCTGAAGTCTGCTGCAGATGCATGTCGATAGGCTGCAGAGCCCCTCGCGTAAGCTGTAGATCCTTGAGCATAGACAGCAGATCTGCTCTTTGATTCCTTTTGGTACTGGCTTACAGTGGACTGCAGGGCTTTATGGCGGTACGCACGGTCATAGTGCTCATGGTGCCTTTGGTAGAAAGGTAAAGACATCATGGATGTCTTCTAATTTTGTTTCTATTGCACGTTGCTGAATATAAATATAACAGAAGAGTGTCTGAAAAAGAACAGATCAAACAGAAAGACTAATGTCAAAGAAAATCCTGCCTCAGCATACAAATAATACAGAAAAAAAAAAGCTAACACAGAACTTCAAACTTCAAACTTCAAAAATCAAATGCAATAAATTTAGGGCTATCTTTTTATGATGCATTTTAGACTTTAAGATAGGTTTGTATTTCAGTTTCAAGATGCTCATATGTCATTCATTAGGAGCAGAAAACCTTGCACTATTGTGTCTGTTCATGTGTAGTTGGTCTCCCTGTTACTGCAGACTACTGAAGTCTCAGGTGCTTGACTTCTCCACTCATTACTGCAAACTAATGACATTTTATGTGCTCAGCTTCTTCAGACATAGTGTAAATATTTTTGTTAAATTACAAAAGAGAGAATACAGTAATAAATTATCCAAAAAGGCATGAGTAATTCCAACATGGCTATTCAATACTTTATAAGCGGAAATAAAAATATATGAACACTTCATTCATTTTTGTAATCCAACTTTCAGATTGAATTTAATATTCTGTTTAATATCTTAACAGTAAATTAAAAACATTAAGATTGAGAAAGATGTCCCTTTTTTCTATAAACACCAATTACATTGACTATTTTGTATGGGATACCAGAGATCCATTTAAAATGGCTTATTGTACTTACACAGTTTAATCAGGGATACAGTCTGTCTCTATTGACTATAATAATATCATGTTCTTCAGTCCAAATGACCCCTTTTTTTAACCTAGAATGTCATGTTCAAGATTATCAAGAAACTTCTTCCAGCCGATTATCCCCACCTAAGTTTTACTTTGCACAGTCATTAATAGATAGTCTTGCAGTCACTCATAGTAGGAAATTTGATCAAGTGAGAGGTAGTTCCCCTCTCAAAATGGGATGAGGGTTGAGCACAGGAAGGATTTCCCTTTGTGGTTTTTTTTTCCAGCTGGCAATTCAATCTTTATTTTGTTATTTTGTTTTATTATAATGTTGTTAAAACTGACGTTTTCTCCTCTGGCATGCAAACTTGCCTCTACTAACCCCTCATGACAACCTTTCTTTCTCTTAGCACTGGTAAGTAGGCTTACAACATGGCTAGGATTGCCCCTGAAGAGGTACGTGATTATGAATAGAAATGAGCTACAGTGCGGGAATGTTTAAAAGAATTCAAAGATTCAAAAACAATGGTGAGAAGTGTTTGCTATTGGATGGGTTTTTTTAATATCAGTCACTGCAGTAGGAGACTTGTTCTGCTTCTGGTTTTGTCCATGTTAATGAAACTACTTATCTGATGTTTTGATAGAAAATACACTTACAGAGCTGGAGTGTAATCTTGATTTTAATTACTTTTTTTTCCCCTGGTCTTTATGCTGCCTAGATTTCAGTCCTTGGCTTTCTTTAGTATTTGGTTCTGATAGCGAGTCAATAAATTGCAAACTATTCTTATTGGTAACTGCTCCGGTACGCACCCAAACTAAGGCAAATTATTAAAACCCTCAATGTTTCAACTTTCTTATATTTCAGGGCTCTCTCAAGGGAAGTGATCTTTGCGTGGTAATGGAACAGATCACTTGTTTGCAGAAAGTCAACAAGAAAGTAAGAAGATCATTCAGAAGTCTCTAAGTATGTACAAGAAATTGCTGATATCCTGACCACAGTGGAACTATGGCTTCAAGGAGACCAGTTTATCCATTTACTTTATTTTCACCCGAGGAAGGGGGAGGAACAGGAGAGAGCATTAGCCCATTGTTCTCTATGGAAAAAACTTATGTTCCTCTTTAATTCCCTTATTTCTCCTGATGGCTATTTTTTCATGTAAGTCTAAAGAACGCAACTATTCTGTCTAGTGTTCTTGTTTCTAATACCTATCAATATTTTGTGTTATTTATTTCACTTTGTTGGCTTCCGGTAGCATGTAGTTCCACTCAATTTCTCTAATTTCAGAAGATTTCTCCTGTTTTCTTCATTGCTTTCCTTCCCAGCTCCGCAGAGCTAGATTTCGGGTTTGCAAGCCATTGTGATTTCTGCTGAGCAAAGTAAAGGTGTACAGATGAGCCTTGTTTTGCAGACCGAAGGAGAAAGAACATGAGAACATCCTGTTTTCCTTCTGTAGAGCACTGCAGTTGTCTCCCTTTGTCTTCACCAGCTTTATTTGCAGTGTTGGCTAGCTTCATCACAGATACAACAGCCACAAGGCTAACAGCCATTCAGTCCTATTGCTCAGGGATTCCCACAACCTTCCAGGCTTCAAAGTAAGGAACGTAATCCAAAAGTATGAAGCACTGCACGTGTTGCCCATTAAGGAGAAGTTAAACAAGGCATTTAATTTACATCTTATCAGAGCGAAAGAACAAGCAGTGGCCTTACAGTCAGCGTGTTTAAAATTTATAAAGGCAACCATTTTATTCTGAACATAAAAGGTCTGGACCTCACTGTCCTCAGGCGTAAGAGGAGCCGTCGATGACAGGAGCAAGAACTAAGGCCATAAGGCAGGAGCTGGGCAGGAAGCAGCTCTCCTGGTTCAAACCAAAGGCCAACTCTTACTCAATCCATGTAAGAGGAAACTCCTTTTATAGGTATTTTATCACACTATGAGTTGTGTTTTATATTGCCTCTGAAACCTCAAGCATTGCTCACAGGTCAGGATCGGTTAGTTACACTAGTCTGATCAGATATAGTAGCCTGATGCTATTGGAGGTGACAAGAGACTCTGAACCTTGTAAGGATTTTGCTCCTATTTGGAGCACTGTCCGATTATCAGACCGACTCCCATCTCTTAAGTTTTATAAAATCCATGCTACTGGCACCTACTCAGTTTATGTCCACTAATCAGCCCCCTTTAGTGTGAGGGCAACACTCCCTCTCAAGATCTGTGTAGAATTTCATAACTGCAGAGCTTGGCCTAAAAATATTAGTGGCCATACTTAGATGAATACGCAGGTTTTGGAACTATATGTTCAGCAGCTGCTGAACTGAATTTTCAAAATGACGACTGAGCAGACAGACAGTTCTGTACTTGTTCATAGGTTGTAGCCACACATTAAAGGAAGTGATTTTATTGGCATTACCTCTTGCGCTGTTTACCAGTCTGTGTAATTCTTCAAAGATCTACTCCATCAATCAGTGAAAATAGTGAAATACATAAAAACCAGAAACACTTATAAGCAGGAAAAAAAAAAATTATAACATTTCCTTCAGCTCAGTCAATGGCTTTACAAATCACAAGACATGATATGCAACTAGAAAATATTTAGATTATTTACACATTCACTAAGCCCAAAGGAGGTTACATGACAAAATCCTCCTGTATCTCAGTGAGGCATGCTTCATTTGAGAGTACTGTGAAAATATGCAAGGAGAGTTGAGTTGATAATAAGTGAACCCTCGCACTGTTTTGTTTTGTTTCACAGCTGAACCCTCAGATATCTTCAGTTCACATCCACAAGTCCCTCAAATAACTGCTGAGCTGAGAGGAATAAGATTAAAAAGAACTGAACACATAAAATCTTCTCTCATAAAGGAACACTTACCAGAGCCCAGACAATCAGCAGCAAATGGAATAGCTCTCAAGTGGATGAAGCAAGAAAATACAGCAACGATGAAGCCAGCAAAGACAGAGGTAGTCAGGACGAGGGGTAAGGGCTGGACTTCAAGGTCCAGAACAAAAATAATGCCTGCAGTCAGTGGAATGTCAGAGCCCCAGTCCAGACCTTGTATGGCCGGGGGCGTGATAAATATAGCATCGAAGAGGGAGAGAGACAGAGACAGATACCAATGCCCTGTGCTATCTCTGTGCAAAGACACGGTGACAGCAGTTTCAAACTAAGAGTTCTCCCTTCTAAGTATCTTCACTAAATTCAGTATAAGATCAGCATTCCAATTTAAAATTATTTCTAGGGTTTTTTTCCTTAGTTAAATCAGATTTAGGAGAGAAAAAACAATTATTGTGTCATGAGCCAGAAAGTAGGAAAGATCAGTCTCTGTATTGACCTTTGCCATGGTACAAGAATATGAATGTTTTAGGAGCTCCTTCCTTTTTTTTTTTTTATGCCAAGCCACAGTGCATGTAATGTAGATACTTCAGCTTAACAACAGACAACCTAGAGAAGTAGTTAGCAGCAAAACTATAAAGCCATAAAATGTGTTACCATTCAATAAAAATGTACTTTCTTTGTTCTGTTGACAAGATGTTACATTTTTATCATCTTACTTAAGATAAAATACTAAATTAAGAACATGACCTCATGAGGCATTTAAGTCAATATAAACAACGCAGCTCTAAGACTCAATTTTTTGTTTCTAAATCAAACAGTATTACCTCTAGGGGTAATTAAATGGGCTTGTCTTCTTTCATTTTGGTCACAGCATTTGGGCACAGAAATGTACAATAAATGTGGCTGAACAGTCCATCAGAAAAGTTTCTGTCATCTGAGGTTTAATATGTGGAATGCACTGTGACTTCATTATAAATACAGATTTTGCTCTACACTGAACATTTAACTTACAAGTGATTAGTCCACTTTATTTTGTGCATTTGCACTGACAGAAATATTAACTCTCTCCGTTCTGCTACGGTCACTTTCCACCGCACTCACCATGTGACACAACTGAGAACTTTCCAGATCCTCCTTTTCTGCTGGGGCCTTCTCCCTTATGGGTGGAACCACAAGAAGAAGGTCTGGACAAGGCCAGTGGGTCCCAGGCTTTTCTGTACAATGGCTCACCAGTATCTTCTTCTTCACCTGCCTTGATTCGACCTGAAATCTCTTCATTGTCATCACTAGCTACTTGTTCCCTGGGGAGTCTCTACCTCCTGCCTGATGCTACACCATGGAGTAAGTTCACATGCCTCTTAATCTTCCACAGCAGGAGCTGCTCAGCTACACTAACCATTTCTCAGCTACATATGCCCCTCTACTGTGCTCTGGTGAGACCCCACCTGGAGTCCTGCATCCACCTCTGGAGCCCTCAGCACAGCAAAGACAGGGACCTGTTGGAGCAG